GACACGGCATGGGTTCTGCCCATGAGTGCGGGAGCAAGAACAAGGCCCCGTCTCCCGCCCAAGAGGAGTTGTGGTTCGCGGTGTTTCCACCTTCCATGTGTGTGGAGTGTACGAGAACCGAGGGGTTCTGCTGCCTCCCTGTTATGTGCACCATTTTTTTCTTGCTAGAGAGGGTAAACAGATTTGGATCTAGGCAGCTGAAGTTGTTGTAGGGCAACATAGACTTTGGTAGGTTTTTGCATTTATTTTTTAAAAAGAAAAAAAATTAAGATCTTACCTGGGTGTGGTGGCCTATGCCCGCAGTCCAGCCGCTGTGGACTACAAGGCAGGAGGATTCCAAACGCAAGGCCACCCCAGGTAACTCAGCCTGACCCTGCCTTAAAATAAAAATGTTAAAAGGGGGTTGGGGGTGTAGCTCAGTGAAGAGTAACCCTGGGTCTCATCCCCAATAGCACAAAATAAATAGATAAATAAATCAGGCACAGTGGCATAAGCCTATAACCTCAGCCGTGCAGGAAGTCGAGGCAGAAGGGTCACAAGTTTAAGGCCAGCCTGGGCAACGTAGCAAAACCCTGTCTCAAAAAAGTAAAAACTATGGGGGAGGTAGAAGCTTTGTTGGTGGAACTCCAGATTAGTACAACCACTCTGGAAAGCAGTGTGGACGTTCCTCAAAAACTAGGAATGAGTCGGGTGCAGTGGTGCTCACCTGTAATCCCAGTGGCTCAGGAGGCTGAGGCAGGAGGACCGGGAGTTCAAAGCCAGCCTCAGCAACATCGAGGCACTAAGCAACTCAGTGAGACCCTGTCTCTAAATAAAATTTTAAAAAACAGGGCTGGGGATGTGGCTCAGTGGTTGAGTGCCCCTGAGTTCAATCCCCAAGACACCCCCCCAAATGAACCCCACTATGAAAAGTGAAGGAGGGGGAGATTTCTCAGTCAAAACAACTGATGGAACTGTGGGCACAAGAGCTGCCTTCCAAGGAAGGTCAAAAGAAGCTCTTCAGACAGTTTATTAGAATATTTGCCCCTCAAATAAGAAATTTATCATCCTTTTAAAAAAGGAAGCTCTTCAGAGAGAAAGAAAATGATATAGGTCAGGAGACAGGATTCACAACGGGATGAAAGAGCACTTGGGAAGGAATCACTGGAGGTGAAATAGAGCCTTTCTTTTTCTTTCACTGTAACCCAGTGAACAACTGTCAGAGTAAAAATAGCATCAACAGATCTGTCCACCACCGCAGGCCTGGGGGAGGGGCAGGGTGATGGCTCCGTGGCAGAGCCTGCCTGGCTCGTGTGAGGCACTGGGTTCGGTTCTCAGCACTGCATATAAGTAAGTGAATAAAATAAAGGTTCATCAATAGACTTTTTTTCAGCTGTAGTGTACAAATGACTGGGTGAGTGATTGCAGTCTCTGGGCTTGGGAGGCCCAGGTGAGTGGAGGAATGGCCACCACTAGAGGAGACAGGGAGCTCATGGGCCTGGCCAGGGGCACACCCAACTGCCACATGGAGTAGCACGTGCTTGTGGGAGGGTCCTGGACAGGTGGCCTCATGGGGAAGTTCCCAGACAGGAGTCTGTCCAGTAGCACAACGTGGCCGTCACTGCTCGAAAGGGAAGGAGAGCCAGGGAGGCCCAGGGCAGAAGATGGAGAAGGGCTCACCCACCTCCGGGGAGCCTCGCAGTGCGCCAGGGGCCTGGCAGAGCTGGAGATGCGTACAGCCACAGGCCTCAGCCCTCGTCTTCCCAGAGGTGGCAGCTGTTTGCAGTGTGCAAACCAAGCAGGCTCCAAATGGCTGGCGCTCTGCCTGTTCTGGTCTTGGTAAGATATCGGACACGTAGCAATCAGAGCCCCAGCCGGCAGGCTTTAGGGTGTGGTCTCAGCCACAATGAGAAAGAATAAAAAGGTCGGGGCTGGACCCGGCTGATCTGCACAGAGTCCCTAAAACGTCTGGGAGGCACGTCACGTTAGGTGAATGTTGTAAAGGGACACTAGAACTCGAGGGCACCACCGAAAGTGTCATTGAAGCATGATTGATACGCTGCAAGGAGACAAAATGGAATTGTAAAATGCACAGTGAAAACCAGCGACGGCAAAGAAGCAAGGAAGGGGCTTTGAAAGTAACAGGGAAGAGCTGTGATGAGTACAAGGTCTGCAAGTCCCGAAATCAAGGATCCAACTGTGGCCATCACTCTGAGTGTGGACAGTGCAGACCCGGCACCAAAAGACAGAGCCGGAGGGAGCGGGTGAAAGCACCAGGCTCAAAGACAGGTCGCTGAAAGGGCCCAGGTGCACACACGCGCACAGAGGTCAAAGGACGGAGAGCCACACACCGTGCAGTCCCAGCAACTCAGCAGGCTGAGGCAGGAGGATGGCAAGTTCAAGGCCAGCCTCAGAAATGTAGTAAGACCCTGTCTCAAATAAAAATCGAAAGGGCTGAAGGTGCAACTCAATGGCCAAGCACGTGCCTGGTGCGTGAGTCCCCAAGCTCCAAGCCAGCACCAAGGAAGGAGGCGAGCAAAAGTGAAGGGTGGAGAAACAGAGCACAAAAGTGCTAAACAGAAACCGTGCTGCCCTACAGAAGAGGCTCCGGATCAGGCAAACGGCCAGGTGTGGAAAAGCCACTAGGGGGCGCCCCCGGAGAAGACAAAGGCCCAGTGTGAGTGAGCCACCACACCACACCATAATGAGTGGCAAGGGCGGCAACATCACAGGCAGATGCCAGTGAAGCCACACTACAATCAGAGACGTCAGTGTCCCCCTCAGTAACACCCCAGCAGAGAATCCACCAGGACGGAGCTGGACCAGCAGAGGCACCAGTCAGCCAGATGGGCTGACATTTAAGACACTTTATCAGCAACAGAAGACACACTCCTCTCATGCTTGTGGAGAGCACTCACCAGGTGGACCACCAGGAAATGTGCAAACTCGGCCCAGGAGGGGACCCAAGGAAATAGGGGGAGCAGGCCAGGGCAGAGGAGGTGCTGGGGAACCCCCATGGCTTCAGACATGTGCATATGAGGGCTTCCCCAAGGCATCAGGGGGGCAGAGCAGCCCAGAGAAAGGACAGCTGAGTCCTGCATGGGCACATCTGAGTGGACTGAGAAACGAGTCCTGCCTGAGTGGACGCACCAGGCAGGGAGTCCCAGTGCAGGTGGATGGGGATCTGGAGCTCGTGCAGGGCCGAACAGGAAGAGTCAGAAGGAAGGGAAATATGTAAGAGTAAAATAAGAGCTGAAATCCAGGGAACCGAGGGAAAAGGAGAAAACCGAGGACGCGGAGCACCGGCTTTGGAAAGGGCTGTCTTCCACACTCTACCCAGGCGGGGGTCGGCTCTGCTGCAGAGACAAACCGTTTCCTCAAAAACACAAGCTAGGGCTGGGGATGTGGCTCAGTGGGTCGAGCGCTTGCTTCTCATGCACAAGGCCCTGAGTTCAATCCCCAGCACCACAGGAAAAAAAGATTCAAACTACCCAAACTCACACAACATGAAACAGAGGAATCCTCAGCTCCAACTACAAAGAAACTGAGTTCTTAATTTGAAAATACTCAAGAAACAAGTCTCAACATCATCCTTCTGGTCTTACTGGAGAATTCTCCCAAAATTTAAAGAATCCCACCATTACCACAGTAGGGGAGAAAACCCTTCCTAACTCCTTGTATGAAGTCCCAATTTCCCTGATGTCAACACCAGACAAAAATAGTGCAAAAAAAGAATGTCACAGCTACGTGTCCGTTCCTCATGCACATGAAGGCAAGCTCTTACCGAAATATTAGCAAGTCCACACTCCTGCACATTGTAAGAATGATCCTATTCCACGGGTAACCACGGGTAAGAGATGCAAGACTGACCCCACGCTGGGAATAAGTCATTGTGACCCACCTTATCAAGAGACTGAAGAAGGGTCGCATGGGCACACTGTGTGTCCCTCAGTCCTGGAGGCTGCAGTCCAAGACCCAGACCTGCTCCTCCTGAGGCCCCTCCTGGGCCTGTGGAGGGTGCCTTCTGCCTGGGTCTTTGCCAGGTCCTCCCTCTGAACATGTGTGTGCCCTGGACTCTTCTCCTAACTGGACACCAGTCCTACTGGATCAGGATCTGCCCTACGGACTCATTGTATCTTAATCAAACATTTTTATAGGCCCTGTCTTCAAACGCAGCGCATCTTGAAGCCCTGGGGGTTTGGGCTTCAAGTGTGATTTTACAGCCAGTCGATTTTCTTCAGTTGCTTTTTTTTTTTTTTTTTTTTTTCCGTGTGGCGCTAGGAAAGGAATCCAGGGCCTCACACGCTAAGCAAGCCCTCTGCCACTGAGCTACATCCCCCGCCCAGTTGCCTAGTGCTTTTATAAGAGCATTTTTATTTTATTTTCTCCTCTTTGTGATTTTACATAAGGGTAGACATCGGAAATGAACACATTCCTTGTGTTACAAAGTCTGCAAACAGGTCTGGATTCCAGAGCCCTTCTTTTCACCCAGAGATGGCTGCTGTGTTGCTGGGTTGCTGGGGAAAGGCCACTTGTTTCCCGCGGAGTGGGACAAGAGTCTGATAGAATCAGAGCGGGGCGTGTGACCATTGGAAGGACCAGCAGTGTGGGTGCTCAAGCTGCCCCTGCAGATCAGCCAGCCAAGTGCCCTCGGGCAGCAGTCACCTAAGAAGGAAAAGTGCCTATGAGCCCCTCCCACACACACACACCTGCTCGCGTTCCGCTGCGCGCAACCTCCCGGCTCTGCAGAGGCGCCTCTCCCTCGCGCCTTCTCTCCAGGAGCCCCGGGCCCTGCCGCGCGGGTCTGCGACCCAAAGAAGAGGACGCAGCAGGCGCAGGCCGAGGCGCGCGAGCAGCCCCGAGAGGCGCCAGTCGAGGAGACTCGACGCCCGCCCGCCCCGCTGGCTCCTCCCCGGGGCCGCGCTGCCTGCCCTACTTCTGGAGAGCGCGCGGACGCCCGGGAGGCTCCGCGGGTCAGCACCGGGACCCCGGGGCTGCAGCAGAGGGTCCGCGGGGGCGGCATGGGGCGGCTGGTGCTGGCGCTGTGGGCGGCTCTGGTGTCCACGGAGCTCGCCCGCGCCCATGTCTGGCCAAGTAAGGGCCGGGGCGCGCGCTCTGCCCACAGCAGCGCCTTGGAGCGCACAACTCAGAACCTGAGCTGCTTCCAGTGCTTCAAGGTCAACAGCTGGAGCCTCTGTAAGCCCACCGTGTGCCCCGCCACCGCTCAAGTCTGCGTCTCCAACGAGGTGTTCCTCCTCAGGAGTGAGTCCGTCCAGCTGCCGCGCCTGGGTCCTCATCCACCGCCCACGAGTAGGCTCCATAGGCTCCGGGCTTTGGGCTCCTCTCTCCCACCCTCCACCCCACCTCCCTCATTTGAAGTACCAACTCTTAAATGTCACTCCCCCTAAGATTGACACCAGGACAAAGGCCCCAATATGTCGCTGAGTTCGCAAAAGAGCAGGGAGGCAAAAGGAGGGTCATCCAAGATGGATAGGCCTTGCAGTCCCTGGGCAGCGGCACACAGAACCTGCCCTGCGACCCGGAGGCCACCACTTCCAGGGCGGGGACTTAGGCGATAGTGCTTCATTTTAAGAACGAGCTTAGAAAAGATGGTGAAGAAGAACACCAACATGTTTCTTAGGCTCGTGCAAACACTTTTATTCAAAGTATAAAAAGAAGTCTAGAGAGACCCAGGTAGACAGACAGAAGTGTTCCCAGCACACACCATCTCCTGGTGCTGGTTCCTGCTAGATGGACCTGGCTCCCTGGGGACCTGCCAGTCTGGTGGAGATGTCTTCTCCCTGTGGCTTCAAGTCCCAGGGGCCTGGATGCAGTGTGGTTCATTTATGGACACCCCACTCCCACCTGTGAACCTCGGGAAGGCTCCTGTGGCCTCATCCCCTGGGAATGACTCAAGAAAATGCATAGGGCACCTGCGGCTTCCTGAGGGAGATCTCTGAAGTGGGCACCTGTGCAACATGCAGGCAGTCTGTGGAGTGGGCTCTGACAGGACCGCCCTTCACAGGACTGTCCCACTGTCCCGGTTTCAGTGTGGGGCATGAGCCTTCTTTTCCTCCTTTGCCATTATGCAGAGGTGGGGTTTTCTGCAGGGAGGGCCATCAGACCAGTTCTTCAAGCATGAGGCTCCTGTGTCCCTACAGTGACAGCCCCCATCCAAGCCTCCCTGTTTGTTAATCAAAATGAAGGAATTTCCAAGCCTTTTCCCCAGCTTGACTCTTCATTTAGCACTGCGTCCTTCACCTTTGGCTCTTGGTCTGAAAGGCAGTGAGAGGAGATCAAGTGAGAGTCTCTTCAGGGGCCACCTGTGCAGGAGCCTCCTGGCCTTGACCTTGAGGTCTGCACCGCCAGTGCAGTCAATGAGTGGCTCACTGTCTTCGCTGGAGGATTCCCTCAAGTTATCCTAAGTCCCGTGCCACTGAGCAGTGATGTACTTTGTGTGATGTGTCATACAGTGCAGTACAACGTGATATAGTGCATTGCGATTTAATACAACATGCCGTGATGCAGTCTAATGTAATCGGCATGATACGCTGCAATGCAGTATGACATAATGTAGTGCCATGCCACATAACATATTGCAACTTAATGTAAGTAATACAAGGCAGTATAATAAAACATAATTCAGCATAACAAACAACAAGAGAACAAATATAATGTAGAATAACAGTTGAATTCTACCCAAAATGGCCTTTTCTCTGGTTGGGTTTTGATGGTGGCTGCCCTTTAGTGTCTTGATAGCTGTTGAAAGTCAGATCTCCTCCGGAAGCCTCTGCATCTTTGGATGAGTAGCTTGGAGACCTGGAGCCCCGCTGGGCACCCAGCAGGTTCTCTGTAGCTACCAGTCCTTTCCACTCTGCTTCCTTTGCCCCATGTCCCCACCACTGGCCCGCACTGATTTGGAAGGGGATCCGAGGCCTCATCTGGCTGCAGAGAAGAGCACTCACCTCTTTGCTGTGCCCCAGGTTGAAGGTGACCTTGGATAGCCATGCTCCCACAGCTCTTCAGGCCTCACCTGTGAAGGGACAGCAGGAGGTTGTCCCCAGTGCCAGTTCCAGCTGCCCTCCTGACAAGCCCCGTCCTCTCTCTCCCTAACCTGGGGGCTCTGGAGCCACCTGCTGTCTCCTTTCTTCTGCAGGGTCAAGGATCAGAATTCTGATCAGCAAGAGGTGCGCTGTCCGCTGTCCAAACTCCAACAGTGAGTTCGAGTGGTCATCCAGCCCTGAGCTGCGGGGCAGGATTGTCAGGCGCTGCTGCTCAGGGCAGCTCTGCAACTCGGCGCCTGCCGTCTTGGAGATACCCTGGGCCCTGTTCAGGTGGCTCCTGCTGCAAGTGGCCCTGGCCTGGGTGTCTTCTGGGCCCTGTTGTGAGGACTTGCCCTGCACCCCCTCGTGACTCCTCTTGTCCTGCGCCTCCAGCTGCCATCTGGCCTCCCTCCCTGGACCCTGCCATTGGCCCTGTCCAATGCCTTTTCTCAAGAAGCCAGGGCATGCTGGCCAACTCCTCATGGAGAAGGGCCATTCCCTGTGACGGGAGAAAGGGCCTGGCGAGGCCAGAACGACTGGCCCACACCCGACTCTCATAGCTCCACTGTGGGCCCCCCACCCGTGTCTGGGACCCCCGCCTCCCTCCTCTCAGAGACAATAAACTCTCACTGCCCCACAGCCTGGCTCCTGCCCCTTCACTCTCCCCAGCCTCAGATCCCTGTCCCTCTCCCAACAGCCACCATAAGCCTCTGGATGGAGTGGCCACGCTGGACAGAACATCCAGTCTACGGCCACATTGAGGCAGGACTGTCCCTGAAGCTGGGACCCAGCACCAGGTGAGCAGGAGGTCCTAGGCTTGAGTCTGGGTCCTAGGAGGCCTGCTGGTCACTGCGTGAGGAGGGAAGGGGACGGGGGGTGGAGGCAGGTATTCTGCAGGGCGCATGGCAGTTCTGCTGAAGAAAGGGAGACCTGGTGGGTGGGGGCTGGGTGTCTGACCCAGAGGGTCACCGGGGAGGAGCTGGAGAACCATGTAGAGCTCAGGCTGGCCAGGCACAGTGGGCACCACTGGACATGGATGTCAGGAAGGAAGGGGCTGCTGAGAGAGGACCTTGGTGTGGATGGTCTGGCGTCCTTCTCCCGGCTCCTCGCGCCTGCTGCTTCCCGTCACCCCACAGCCGTTCCCTCCCTGGGCCACGGTAGGCCCGCGGCAGGTCTGCATGACCCTGGGCCTGGCTCCTGATTCCTGGAGGCCACTGCTGAGTCCCAGGACCCCCTGCTAAAGCAGAACCCACTCTGAATTTCAGTCCCGCCCACTGTCGGGCTGCTTGGCTTTCCAGGGATCTTGGGCTTCAGGAGTCCCTGGGTCCCTGAGCCTGGGGCACCCAGCATGGAGGTGCAAGGAGACAGGGGCTGAGGGACGATCCGGCTGTGGTGGGTGGGCTTGGGCGCTCCCCCTGGAGCCCAGTTCTCTTGAGAAGACGTGTGCAGGCATAACCTGGGTTCAGTATTGGGTCAGTGTCTACAAAACAACTAGTTGCGAACTTTTTTTCTGGTTCTGATGATCAAACCCAGGGCCTCACACGTGCTAGACCAACGCTGGACACTGGGCTACACCCTTCGCCCTTCTGTGATTTCGATTGGGATTGTGTTGCATGTGTAAACCAAACTGGGGAGAGCTGGCACCCTAACAGTGTGGAATCTTCTAGTCCATGAACATGGGGTGTCTCCTCATGATTTCAGATTTTCTTTAGTCAGAGCCTTGTTCTTTTCCACATAGAAATCATTTGACAGATTAATACCTAAGTATTTCTTTCTTTTTTTTTTTGTTTGTTGTACTTTTTTTGTTTGTTTTTTACAAAAACAAAAGGTGCTATTTTGAAAGTTACTTTTTAAAATTTCAGATTCCCTTTGCCCATTGCTGGTGGATAGGGAAAGGAGTGGCCTATTAACTGCACCTCTGCCTTGCTGTCCTCCCTCGTCACATCTAGAGGTCCTGTTGTCGATTCCTTGGGCGCTGGCTCTTTTTTTGCATTCCCTGCTGGGAGACTCAGGCCCTAGGCCAGCTCACCCACGAGGATGCCCAGTCAGGTCTCTGCCCCTGGCCGCCTCCAAGCTGGCCACGCCCTGCCCTTCCCTTCCTCTGCTCCGACTGTTGCTGTCAATTCAGATTCTGATTCTCGCACTCTGTGCTGGTTTAACTCCTTTTGCTTTTTTGGTACTGAGCCTGGGTAGCTCTGCCACTGCACCACTGAACCCCATCCCCAGCCCTTGTTACTTTTACTTTGATAGAGTCTCATTAAGTTGCCGAGGCTGGCCTTGAGCTTGTGATCCTCTAGCCTCAGCCTCCTGAGTCGCTGGGCTCACAGGCGTGGCGGCTGTTTTAACTCTTTGTGATACGGGTTTGGTGTCTTCATTTCTAAGCCTCTGGTCATTGGTTCTGCTTCTCTCACTGTCTTGGTCCTGAATCAGCAAACTGAGCTTGGGTGTCTTTCCTCAGACTGCCTGTGTGAAAAGAAGGGAGCAATTGAGAGCACAGAGGGTGGCAGTGCTGGGGACCCTCAGTAGCAGGACCTTGGCAACCTTGTGGGGGTGACCTCCACATCTCCTCTGTCCTCTTTGCCCAGAACAACAGCCCCAGACACTCCTGTTCAGAGACTGCCACTTCTGGGTCTGACGTGCGGATGGCTCGGTGGGCATGTGAACTTCATCTCGGGAGGTCACAGGGCCCAGCGGAGGCTTCTCGGTGCAGCCACCCTGACCGCAGGCATTCCTACCAAACCCAGATATTTGGAAATTAAATCATGTTTTTCAATTAGTTCACGTGTTAAAGAAGAAATTCTAAAAGGGGTTTTCAGTCCCTTGAGCTGAGTGGTGATAAGAATCATCGCAGCTTTTGTTTTGAATGAAAGTGGCTCTTGAGAAATGTACAAACCCTCACATCAGGAAAAAGGGGAGCAGAAATTAATAGACCATGGTTCAGATCTGGAACTAAGGAAGTCAGAAAGCAGCCCAGTGAAATCGTAAAGAGCATACCCAAACAGACCTACAAAGCCCGCCTCCTCACAGAAGGGGGAAGCTCTGGCAAGATGGAAAGAGGATAAAGAGGAAACACAAATCGACGACTCGGTGACAACCACGCCACTGATTCATCTGTGCAAAACTCGAGAAGTGGGAAAGCCCACCCACTGCCCAGCCCCAGCGCCCCCTGGATGTAGGGGATGTGGTGAACAATAAAAGACCAGGAAATGCTCGGGAAGCTGAAGACCTAGGGAATGCAGGGTGCCACAGAGGAGGAGGTCAGGTCTCCGACCAGAGGTCGATGTCTCAAACAATCAGTGCATAAACAAATGAGCGGCTACTCGGAGAAGTCAGATCGGATCTGCACTCAGGCATCCAGGTATCGTACGTAAGAACTAAGTAGACCCACAAGAAAATGGGAAGCGAGGACCTGTCTAACCTGGGTGTGGGGGAGGGCTTCCCAGGTGCAGGTCTAGATCCAGAAAAGACCACTACTCGAGTACATGAAAATAGACGTATTTCCTATGGGGTTGTGAGCGCATGTACACACACGGCCATAAGGACTGGGCAGGGTGGGGAAAAGGCAGAAGCTTGGTGGAAAGTTTGAGCAGAATGCAAAACTAATTAGCAAAAAACGATGCGCAATGCCACTCAAATATATGAAGAGGTGTCAAAAATGCAAATTAAAATGCTCGGGAGAGGGCAGCCCCTCTGCATTTCCTGTGCAGCTGAGGGCACCACTGGTTCTGGCACAGGTCAGAGCCCCAGTCTGCTCCCCACGCTGCCCACAGCCACAGAGCCGAGTGGAATGCCCAGGAGCCCCGGGAGGACTGCCGCAGAAAACAGCGCAGGAGATTGGGAAGCAGGCAGAAATTCGGAGTGCCACCAAACTAGTGGGAAGTCCCCTTCCCATTTCTTCTTGCAGTGCCACAAGGCAGACCTGCCTGCAAGTTGCAAGTGGACACAGAGCATGGACAGAGAGGGTGCCAGGAGTGTCCCTCAGGCCTCTCGAAGTGAGGGGCGGTGGGACTGGAGCCTGTGGGTATCCAGGACTCCGAGGGGGGCTCGCTTCCAGGCAGAGGAGCTGTGGGCCCAAGAGGCAGGCGAATCCCTTGGCCCCTCTCCCTCCCGTCCCCCTCATGACCCGGCACTGTTGCAGGGTAGAAGTGAGAGTGACCCAGCTCTCTGGCCAAAAAGAGGGGCCCCAGGTAACAGCAAAGACGGCAGGTAGCGTGTGCGAGGGGAACTGGGAAGCAAGCCCACCTCGTGTGAGTCATCCATGAAGTCCCAGGCTCACACCCAGGCTGAGCCGACATGGCTTCGCCCTCCACAGCGTTCTGTGAGAACTAGACCATGCTGCCACCCTCTGAGACTGGCTGCCGGGATCTAATGCTCAAAGTCTGGCCAGGAGGCTGCCACCCACAGCAGCGGTCTGCAGCTGCATGCAGCCCAACCAGGTGTACTGCCTGCTGAAACGAACACCATGAGACTCAGCATCTCACAGCACGTGGCCCTGTCACCACCCATCCTGCCATCGATGCAGAAGATCAGGAAAATCTCAAGTAGCAGGGAAGAAGGCAGGAAGAGATGCCAGTCAGGGGGACACAGATGCTGGCACTGTCAGCACAGCATCCTTAACATATTGTATAAAAACTCTCCAAAGAGGAAAGGCAAACACTCTTGGGAGGAGCAAAGAGGCATGAACTGTCGGCAGGGAAGCAGAGCACACAGAATGACCCATCGGGAACGAGGAATTAGAAGTATTATCTGCAAAATAAATAGCAGAACAAGGCAAGAAAGAGAAGCACCATTTGACCTAAGTCCCCTGAGGACAGATCACTTCACTTATCCAAGTCGAAGCAGGGAGAAGAGGCAAGGAAAACCAGGGAGAGGCCAGGGCGCCCGAGTCCAGCTTTCCAGGGGGAGGAGGACGGTGCGTGGGGCGCGCGCTGCAGGAAACTGGCTGACAACCGTCCAGTTTGGGAAAAAGCTAAACCCAAGGCCTGTGGACTGGAGGAGCTCCGTGGGCCTGGAACAGGATGAACCCAAGAAACACATGGCCAGGCACCCTGTGACCAAGACCCATGTTGTCACATGCCCACATCAGGGAAAGGAGACAGAAACCGGAGCAGGGACAGCAGGTGCCACTGTGCAGAAGGGCCCAGGTCACAGAGGGAATCCAGACCCAGAGCCTGTCCCACCTTGAGAGGACAAAGAGGCTGAATGAGCAAGAGAGACACTGACCCAGAGGGACGCTGGGCTGGAGTAGCTGCTGGGACACAGCTGGGATCTGAGCAGGTCTGCAGATACGACAATAGGTGCCGTCGGTGTTGATTTTGTGATTTTGATCATTGCACGAGTAGTTAGGTAAAATGTTAGCTTAGAAAATCT